GCAAACACGGCAGTTTAGTTGCCAAGCAACCCTCTTATCTTCCAAAATGCATGCTCAAGCAACTACAAAATCAGCTGTTCAAAGTAACCGGAAAACAAAAACAAGGTGTATTTGCATCATCCTAGTCTGCTAAGCAAAGTGCAGGCAAAGAGAAACCTAAACCCCAGCCACGGCTTTCTGAACGCAATAAATGAAAGTCACAGTATTAGCTACATGCAATCCCCAGGACCTCCAATCCACATTTTGCTCGTCATGTGAACAAGTAATTCAGGTGCCAAAGGGAAGAGGGCTCCCCGAAACGCCCTTGGGAAAGGGGGGGACACCTGCCCCGCGCAGGTACCCGGCGCTCCCTGCAGCGCCAGGCACCCAGCTCCTCCCCAGGAACCGGGGCACCAAACGTCGCATCGCGTTACTCCAGGGCAGAAGTCAGAGGAAACATCGCTATTATTGATCAACGCTAACATTAGCGATATCGATCAAATAGTCACAAATTTGCATAGGCGTTTCTAAAGTTTCACACGAATTTGATTGTAGGCACAATATTCAAACGTCAAACATCCCAGTAGTTACTTTCTGAGGCTTGTTTTATATTTTGATGACTATGGTTCAGTTATGTTTGCTTCCTGTACCAGGCCAAACGCAGTCTGTCGAGAAATCAAGCGTTGCGTCTTTAATCCCATCGCTCGTGTTTGCTCACCTATTCGGCATCAGAACTGAACAAAAATGCCAGCCTAACCCCACGAACTCTAGTAAAGTATTTGCAGAATTCTCAATTATTTCCTGTAATTTCCTATTGTTTTATCCCAAACATAAAGCATTTGTGCACGTTTGGATATGTGCGGGTCATGATGTTAGCATAGGCATCCTGAATGGTAAGGACACCCCTGGAGAGAAGGCTGTTTACTGTATACAGGGACACAGAATATAAAATCAAGGAGCTTCTGCTGAGAGAGGGAAGAAAAGAAAAAAAAAAAGTTCCCCTCATCTTTCCCCCAAAACAGTGATTTTCCTGTTAGGAAGACTTTTAATCAAAACCAATTTACCGCAGATTAGAGACAGCATGGGGAGTACAAGAGCTCCAGAGAGTGGGTAAATTATTATATAATATTTCTGAAATGCTCTGATTGAAGGTTTGATTTTTTTTTCTGTTTTTAAGGACAGAATCTTTTAAGCTATAATCAGTCTCTGTCACCGTGCTCGTCCATAATACTGTGTCTTTCACTAATCTTATTTTCCTGTCTCCCTGTTTCGCCTTGCTTTTGAAATGTTATCTTCTCTAGAATAATAAAGATATACCTCCTGAAGGCCTTTCTCCTCTTTTTCAAACGTATAGTTTGTAGCAAAGTTCTGGTATGGGAAAGTAATTGAATGAGAGGGAGCTGGAACTGGGAGAGGAAAACGGGGGACTGCTGCATACACCGCAGATTCGGGGCGCGATCCCACGCCCTGGGGATCCCTGCGCAGGGGTCTGCGGGCATCAGGAGATGACAACCTCGACTGTCGGGAAAAATCTTCCCAACAAGTGTTTAACTCTCCATTTGACTTGCATTTCAAGGGCTGAAGCTAAATATTAAAAAAAAAAAAATCTGGATTTTGGTTTCATTACAATCTCAGACTAAATTTATTAAGAGTGATCCTGAATCTCATGAATTTTTCAGGGAAATCAGCGGTGATTTATGATTTTTCCACAAACTCCATACAAAACTCTTGTTTGAAGCCCTTTTCTTCTTTTGGTGCAGCCACCACAAAGCAGGACTGAAGCTCCAGGCAAAGCCTGCGGGTTCACAGCCATTCGGCTCGGTACTGACGGTTATATCCCCATAATCCTGTTCATAGTGCAAAGCCACAAAAATGCTACAAGAAATATTTGTGCAGTCCACAACATATCTTCAACCAATTTATCTAGTTATTAACTGCAAATAAAAGCTTGAGCAATGGATCTGTGGATATGAGTCTTCAAGAAGAGGCCCATAGAAAACACCTACATAAATCCTGCTACTTTATGCAGATACCTGCGTTCTCATGAAGTTTGAAAACTTCCAAGTTTTCTGCTCATAAGACCTCCCTGTTCTAGAGCTCACAGCAAATCAGGTCCCCCCAGGACATACTTTTCTCTCTCCATTTTCCCCTGCAGTAGGACCATAAACCAGGTACCTCTCCAACCTAAAATAATCAGTAGTGTCACACTGGTCTTAATCAACTCTACACTTTCTGTTCATGTAATCCATTCATAATTAACTTTTTAGCCACTTAATTTCTGCAACTCTGCAGTCCTACTTTTTGGAAACATGTTTCCAAACGCTGGCCAGTTCCAAATGAGGCCAGTTTCAATGCTTTAAATGCTCATTGCCCTGTCTACGCTGAATAACTCAATTCTGTCCATAGATTAAGCTTTTACAGTTTCTGCAATAATATACTGAAGTCATTTAACTGGCAAGCCCCAGCCCTGGAGGAAAGGAACAGAGGTGGAGACTGAGGAACTAAGTCCTTCGCTTCGTCATGTTCAGGGTAGAGGAACAGATCTCGTTTCTCCCCATCCCATGCAGTTCACTCCTTTTTCCTCCAATAAACGGAGGAAAGATCTACTGTGACAGATTTTTTAAGACCAGAAGCATTTCACATTCCTCCCAGTTCCAGGCAGTCTCTGCCTAGACATTAAACATTAAAGGTTTTATATGCTCTCATTTGCTTAATGTGTCCCTTTATTGCTACACTTGAACCAAGCATCACCCTTGCAACATCTCCCCACGATTAGAAGCCCTCAGTCTGCTATCCACCTGTCTGCCATATTCCCAATTTTCTTTTTATCCTCTTTTTTTTTTTTCCTGTTTGAGTTGGGGTTTTTTCTGCTATCTCCTTGGCCAACAGAGTTTAGGTCAAAACTTCTGTGGGTCTTCTCCAACAATCAAACCTCAGTCTTTAGAATCAATTGTTTTGCCCAGTTTTATGCTCCCGCATCATTTTATCATATTTCTAGGTCTGGCTCGCGAGAATAACGACTCAAATGCAAAACCCTAACTGTGCCAAAACATTTTATTTCTCTTTAATATCGTGTGCTTTCCTGTGAAAAGGAGTTGCCAATTTTACGGCCAAGCTCCAGGAACTCAGAGCCCAACGTAGACAGTGATCATTTTTAAAAGTCCCCAGAGTCTTCTGTGGATTATGAGTGCAAATACATTATTCAAGACGGTGAAATAATCTACAAAAGTTCCTCGGGATAAGAGACTGAGAGGCTAAAAAAGGCTCCAGCTGAAAAAGATACGTTCTCTGCGTCACGCAGAGGAGTCAGCTATCACTAGCGGACAAAACACCACCGCCACACATAAGTCGGTTTAAGTGTGCTATTACTCTGCAGTACTTCTCACAAGGTGTCTGTGCTCACTCTCATCACATATGTATTTGTTATCCTCCTTAATAAAATAAGTAATTTTAAAAACAGCAGTGTAATAAGCAAGATGGGGGAAAGCCTCATTTAGAGCATCTCTACGTTCCTTTCAAGCACAGTTGTCATTAATGATCTATAATACTATCAATAAAATCAACTTAGTTACAGTGCTCTGTCAAGATGTTTAGTACTAATATAAATATTATTGGTACTAAAATTATTTTTATGAGCTAAGAACATTACAAACTAAGATCATTCCATCAAAAAAATATAGTCCATTATTAAAGTACAACGATAATATCTGCCTCAAACTGCGTTTTCAAATATTAATTTTCTAAGGCAATATACCCAACTTTCACTTAGACAAAACTGGAAAACACAATTTGTCATTTCGGCAATAAAAGTAGATGTGGCTACATTATTCTTATGTTGCAAATGTGTACTACTCCATTATGCAGAACTTGCAGAGAGAAGAATCACAAGTCGTTATTACTCCTGAATGTTTTAATGAGCACTTCTTTCATGGGGAAAAATATAGCTGTAGCTATTTCTGTAGTATACAGGATGTGCATTATCTTCCCAGCTAATACTCTGCATGATGATACCATGAATATACATACTGTAGATACATTTGGCATTAACCTGCATTTGCTTTATGGCAGAAGTTATCTCGCATCCTCACTACTACCATATGCTTAAATTAAAAAAATATGAAGGACTTAAAATCACAAATGTCTCAACAATATTTGAAACCATATGGCACAAATATATTTCTTGTCAGCTATTTACTCCATGCATCCCTACACTGACAATCAACCTTGGAAAGACAGAGCAAAGCATATGTTGTAAGAGAGAGGAGCTGGACAGCGTATGACGTTTGCTTTGCAAAGAAGTATGACAGCGTAGCGTATTACTATTGTATGGTCCAATCATCACACACATTTCAGAGAAACGGTGAAAGAGAAAAGAACAGGCCAAGAGGTTTTTCAGTCGGCATATGCATTAGGAAAATAAAAAAACCACACACACTAACGGGATAACAGGATGTCAGAGAAACTGAAGACGCACGTTTAGTTCTTCTGCCTCGTTGCTGGCGAATCATGACTCGAAAGCAGAGGTAACAGTACAGGTGGAAGGAGATTTAGATGAAAACTTCCCAGAACAGCAGTAAGTTTTTGAGGAAACAAACAAATCATCATCTACTTCCATGCTGAGACCAAAAAAGAAAAAAAAAACCCAAAGTAAACAATCAGTCTAAAAATCAGGGGAAACTTGGTGCTGGTAACATGATTAAAATATATATATATATATTTATCCATATCCATATGTATTATAGATTTATTATTCATATGTAAACAATCGCAATTGACACTTTCCAGTTGTTTCACAGATATGTGCTGGCCAAAGCACAAGCAAAAGAGGAATCGGTTCATGGGCTTGTCAGTACGCCCAGCAGCACAGAAGAGCGAAGCACTAATACACTTCTGCTTGTTTTCACAGTTTGAATCTCTCTGCACCGTCACTCAGTTTCATAAATAAACCATGCACGCATAATAGTTATTCAAATATTTTTCTGATGATAAGGATGAAAAAGATCCAAAACAAAAGGCAAAAAAGAAAATATATCAAAGCAATGGACTTCTATAGGCCATTTTTTAAAAGCAAAGTACAAAATAAAGAAATACTTAAGCAAAAACTCCTGTACACTGAAGATCTAACCTAAGTGATCTGCAGACATTTAGAGCCAGGTCCCCATTTGGACACTGCACCCCCATGAAAATCAATTCAGATTTCCAAACAGCTCTGCAGTGCTGGTCACACTGTCCAGGGAGAAGTAAGTTTTGGACATGTCTTGCTTTATTGGAAAGTAAGATAAATTCCTTAAAAGCTTGGACTAACACTGCAAGAGCTTCCCCCGACAAAGCCAGAGCAACCTGAACACCTGCACGAGCCTCGAGTCTTTTCAGCAAGGCAAAGGACCGGCAGCCACGTCGTCCAAAGCTCCGGCAGCAAGCTACACCTCTGGCTAATTTATGAGTGAGCAAATAAATGCTTTGACAATAAAACCCACATGAGATCATTAAGAGAGATTTATACCCACTAGGGAACAATTTTTAAAGACATCAGGGTTTAGATTAGCCCACAGACTCATCCTTCAGCCATTTTTACAAAAACAGCCAGCAATGTTTTATCCCGTTGTGTCCGTGGAAGAGGGTCAGATATGCCCAGGACTCCTGGTCTCCTTTCCATCTATCTTCTGATGACCGTAAATGGCTAAACCCAAAAGCGTGCTATTAAAGTAACATGAAGGTGATTAGCTATCTCTTGGCACTGACCGTTTATCCTTACTGCAAGGCCCAGAGACGTGGATGCACAGATCACACAGGAAAAACCTGATGGGAATTTTTAGGCAGAGAAGGAAAATAAGAAATAGAAACTCCGTGGAAAATACTTTGCAGCTGCTCACTTTTCTCTTCTGTCTGAATCTCTCATCCTCTGTGAACGAATCAAATGTTTATCTTGACATCACCTGGTAAAATAGAACTTACCCAAGACCCGAAACAATTTAAATGTCAATTCCTTTGATTTAGCCAATAGATGCAAGACAAATTAGAAATACCATATACCCAGTACCTCCAAGCCAGATATAAAGCCCTACAAACGCCACAAATACAGTTTCATATTTGTGCTTAAAAGCTAGTACACACATTATGTGTCTAACATTGCTTCCACATTGGCTGCACAGCCTGTCCCATAGCAAGCACACACGCAGCCTTCGCTGAAACCAGCAGCACCACCAGTCCCTCGCAGTTAAACCCGGCAGGCAACCTGAAGGGAGATAGGAGCGGCTGCTCGCACCGGACGCGGTGGCGGTACCACTGTCCCCTCTCATAGACCGTAACAGGTTCAGGGCCTTAAATAATCCAGAATTGTGGACTTTGTGCTATGCAGCAGAAACTCGCAGCCCAGGAGGTGCAGGGACCAAGATGAGGGGTAGGGATACCTTGTCCTCCCAGGGCAGCACTGCGGTTATTGAAGCCCTTTTCCTTTGCCCTGGTGCTTTTATGCTGTACAAAGGAGGTCGGTCCTTGCTGGGCATCTCCTCTTGACTGCTCAGATCATCTGCAGACCTAAGTGCAGCATCCTCAGACAGTATCAACTCCATAGTGAGGGATTCCTGGTTAGTGAGGGATTTTCTAGGCTCAGTAAAGTGGAAACACTGATTCTGGATTGTATTGAAAAAAAAATCAAAAAAAAACAACAAAAAGAAAACAAATAAGTTGTTTTAGAAAATTACTATCAGGAAAAAGAATGGCAATCTGTATAGAGATAGTGTTACAGTAAGGTTGAATAATACACTGCTGTCCCTTTGTTGTTTGGATAAACACCCTTTTGAAAATTGTTGGATTTATTCTGAACAAAACAGGAAAAGTGTCTGAAAAGCCTAGAAGATAGCAGTCAGACAGCTTTTGAGTTAAAAGCCACTTACAATGTTGACTTGTGATGTTGACTTTTGCCTATTAGTCGTCTTCCACCACCACTTGCTATTATTCCTTCAAACTGTCCATGGAGTGAAGCCTCCTCTGAAAATGAGTTGGCTTCCTCCAAGAAAAACATATGCTGTGCTTAAGCAGAGTTAATTATTTCTGTTATGAATTATCTGGGGCCCATATCTCCTCCCAGTAATTGATATGAGAGCTTGTCCATAGTTCCATCCACAGGGATGGGAGTTCAACATTGTCGGGACATGAAGGAACAGCCTGAATATCAAGTAAGAGAAATAAGATATAATTTTAATTTATTAGTGTTGTGATAAAAAAAAATAAGTAGCATGCTTATTTACAGCCTCTACAGAGGGACCGTGGAGAGAAGGTTATAGTGACCAAATTATCTTTTGAGTCAGATCCAAAAGGGGATTTTGAGGATCTGGAATAGGATCTTACATGCATAAACCCAAGCAGCCATTCTGAAAGTCCCTGCCGCGTTGCCACGTGCTCCTGCCAGGCCACGGGTTTCCAGCTCTCTAATCACCTGCAAGCTCCCCCGCCATCCTTACCAGGACACGCTCCAGTGTAACTGGGCTGAATGGCTCACGGCCAGGCTTATGCCTACTCCTGACCAAAAAGAGGAGTATACGTGTAAAAATTGTCAACAGCGCTTGCCTCTTAGGCATTTTCAGACAGTGCCCAACAGGAGCAACAAGCAAAGGTTTCATTCTCCTTTACAATGTTGGCTAGAAGAGAACATCTTCAAGTCATACAAAATACCCAGGCAAAGGGAGAAATTAGACCTGGGTCCTCAATCTCCTGGCATCTGAGCCATCCTGGGCCCACATCTTAGCCATTAAAGTATGACATAAAACATGCTCTTCCTCCAGCTCTGTCACCTTTGCCCAGTTATCCCCAAAACATATAAACCTCCAGAGAGGGATGAAGGCTGCACATGCCAAAGAAACAGAGGTTATGCCTCACTCCCCACTGAAAGCAGGACTTCCGCACTTGTCCACAGCCTACTCCTGCCAGACAGGCAGCGGCATGCAGAGCTAACTGATTTCAAATGGCGTGTTGACCAGCGACCTGACCCCTTTGGAGACACCTTGCATCGCCACATAGATGCCTGACTCAGGGTTGTGTTTTAGAAACCAAGCACCAGCTTTCGGATGCTCAAGACCTTCACTGACCTTATTCCTTCTGCCTTGGACAAGAAAAGAGAAACTACCAGAGATACTTCATGTGCAGACCTACAGTAATAGCTACACTGTGTTTTTCTTCAGGGATCTAAGCTTATTGGTCTTTACCACAATCAAGATACCCAATTAGCCGTGTTAAGATAATCAACACTAAAAACACAGTGTATAAATTTTGGCCTAACCTTGTACATCTGTACGCCTCCTCATTTTCACTGCCTCTCCAGAAGAAAGCACACACAGTTTAAACCCAACAAAATGACTGTGCTTTAGAATACTAATCATTCTGTTCTGCACTGCACAAGAAATGTGTAGTTTCCTGCAAAAATGACTTTCTTATGAGTCCTGAGTCTAAAAGACTGCAGATGTGTGTGAGCAAAAGCAGCTGAGGCTGCACAGCAGAACCAACTGGCAGTTGTCACCAGAGGCCAAAAGGGGTGGCTTGGACATTTTGCTCATGAAAGGTTGGAATAGTAAGATGATGAAATTTAGTAATGATATATTTGCATTTACTGTGTTTACACTGTCTACCTATTCAGAGACAAGGAAATGAAACCAAGAAGAAATGGGAATGCCTTAGAGGCGGAACTTCCCGTCGCCATTTGCTGTTGGAGGGCTCTCGCTAAGTGCAGCCCTGCTGGAGCCCTTACAGTCAGCAGATGAATAAAGACACTGTCCTGGACAACACGCTTTTAGTCAGCTCTGCTGAGCGGAAAAGGTCATCTTCGGTTCCCTTTTCAGCAACTTCTATGCAGAAAGTTTATTACTGTGAGTAAGCTACGTTCCTTGGAAGGAGAAGGAAACCAAAGCTCTTGCTTCCATGGGAACATGGTGGCAGGAGAGAAGCAAAGACGGAGAGAGATTTCTCATCAAAAATACAGAAAAGCTAAGTATTCCAGTAAAAGGCAAAGTATCTCATACTAATATCCCCAGCAGCTTTGCACTTGAAGAGGGACCTGTGTGGCCTGTTCTCTACCCTAGGCCACATAGCTCATACCTGGGCACCTACCGCGTTGTCCAGGGTCGGCTGGGTCTCCTACAAAGAAAGTGAGGGCAACAAAGAGCTGCAGCAGTCCTTCTCATACTGATATGTGTTTGTTTTTCTAGCCAAAAGCCAACCTTCAGGGAGGACAAAAATAAGGGTTAAAAAAAAAAAAACACTTCTCCAGTTAGCTTTGCTTCTAATTCAGGTGCACAGGACCCAGCTATATGCCATCTCCTCTGGTGCCTCCAAGAAACATTTGTGGATTTTGGCTCAAAAAGCAATCACTGAAGAAGACTCCAAGAGGAAACCTCTCTGTTCCAAAAAGCCATAGCAAACTCACTACTATGTGAGGAATGAGGTGAATAAACCAAAAGATAAGAAAAAGCCATTAGTGCTGAAGGATTTGAAAAGAGGGGAAAAACAGACCCTAGAACAGCCCATGAAGTAGCTCTTAGTTAGGCATGCCTGTGCTTCCTGCAGAAAATCAAGATGGTTGTGAAACATAATTCAGGAAGTTGTTCTATACCTGTACTCAGATTCTGTTAACAACTCACTGCATGTAAAAGGTTTCCATTATTTGAATATACCAGCTTGACTCCAACAGCTCATGGCATATTATTATTGCCTACAGAAGTATCAGTTTGGAATAAAGAGGGTGTATGGGTTAACAAAACTCAGGTAAGATAAATAGATAACACATGTTACAGCTGTGATCGTAATTTAAAATAGCAGTATGGACAATATTAGTAGCTTTTTCTCATAAATAATTCTATTTTGACGAAAATTTGTGATGTTGACGGTAGCTGTCATGAAAAGTACGTGAACAAGCTTCAAAATCTTATTTCTGTTAATAGGCCTACTGCATATATTCACTAGCTGATTGAATTAAAGTGAAAAACCTATAGCTACATTAAGAGTTTCACTTTCAGAAATCTAAAGAATACTTATGAACAGAGGAAAGAGTGAATTTAGTCAGGAGACGCACACTGGCATTTTTTCTAGCTGGACCAAAATCCAGTGAGAGTTAAAAAAAAAAAAAAAAAAGTTAACTGTGAAGCATAACTGCCATCTTGTGATTGAACATTGCAATTCAGGTAGTATGTGGGGGAACAAAATACTTGGATGTTATTTCCACCTCCCCTCCCAAGGCATCTTCACCTTTTGGAGAAGAGATTTGAAGGTGAATCAGTGATTCAGCCCTGTGGAGCTTCACAAACAAGTGATATAGGCTCCCAAATGAAACCAGGAAACCCATAAGCATTTTTGGTGCTCTAGGACTCTCCTGTTTAACAAACTTCTGAATCGGGACTGCATTTTCTACTTTACACCAAACCTCCAAGGTACCATTACCAAATTAAAAGAAGATATTTTCAGCATTTTCCCTTCCATACAAACATTTTCTGTACTTCTACATGAACATTACATGGCTACGCATGGGAAAAGATACTCCTTCCAGGTACATATGAGAGGACTAAGAAATTGCTGATGTGGTCAAGTACAGGATTTAAGGAAGATTATAGTCCTAGTATACACTATGAGAAATTTTACCAAAAGTTCAGGAAAGAGATTTCTGTATGTGTCACTGTACAGTAAAATCCCACGGATGCCTTAAATTATTGCAAAAGAAATTCTGCAGGACTTCTCATTTAAGCAAGCTTTGTACTGAAGATTTACATGAGAATAAGCGTTGCAGAACTTGATTTTCTCCTTTTAATAGGCATAACAGTTCTGCTGTCCAGCTTCAAATATCTGCATATGATCCGTCAATACAAGAGTAGTCACTATAAGTGAGGAAGAGAGGTGTAACAAGAAAGGGGAAATAAAGAGATGACAAATGACTAATTAATAAGGTTTTTTGCACCCCCTACTTCCTTTTGAACGCAACTTTTCTTACCCACACTGCAAATATTTCATTGTTAAGGTTTTATACTGAGAGGGGTGTATCAAAAGGACATCCTAGACAAAGCAGTAGCAAAAAACAAAAAGAAGTAAAAAACATGAAGGAACTTCTCTCAGAGTTAATTTGATTGTTTTAATAAGCTTTGGACATGCAGTTACAACCTAGAACTTCAAGCTGGTTGGTAAGCGCATGAAATATAAAAGTGCTTATTTTATCTCAGCAAGATATTCCTGCTGAAAACAGTCTTTTTAAACAGGCTCATTTTTTCCCTTGAAGATTGTAGTCATAAAATATCCCTGCAACAGATAATGTATCTGTATCATTTAACTTGACGTTGCAAAGATAAAAGAAAAACTTAATTAGAGTGGAGGGAAAAAAATAAACATACCTGGCACCAGTTCCCTTGTCTAGTTAGTGACAAAATTAATATTGGGGAGCTTTCTGTGGTGCCTTGCCCTCTATGTGCAATTCACTTCTGCTTTGACTCAGAGCCTGGAGGGAACAGGCATCTCCAACTTGGAGGTATTAAAAAGGCTCCTCGGCAAAGTTTGCCGAGTCAGAGGGCTGCTTTGAGGTATCCCAGTGGGCGAGGGCTTACTAAATCTTGAAGGAATAGGAAAAGAGGAGATGGGAGGACACCCTTTGTCCGAATCT